GGGACGCAGACGCGGGCTTGGGGACGTGCGTCCGGCCCCGCCGGCCTGGGGACGTGGCAGCGCCGGGAGGCCGCGGTCTCCGGAGCCGGGCTTCGGGCGCTCGCGCCCTGTAATAACCGACGGCAAGTGGCGGGGAGCCCGTTTGCCGTGACGCCCCGTCGGTGCCTGCGCTGCGCCTCGGGGCTTCGGCGCTCCTCCGTCTGTGTGTTAGCGGGGGGATCGGCCTCAGGCAAATAGGCAGGGTAGCCCGTCTCGTACGCGGGTGGACTTTATGTCCAAGTGAGTTTGTCAGAGTGGTTACGGTGAGAGACGACAAATACTTACCAACGATTTGACACGTTTTGTTGTCGCAGTCCTGTTCGGCTGCTAGTTCAGTCGGTGGGCACTTAGGGAAGTTCATGTTGAGATCAGAGCTGAGAATGCGGAGATCCTTCACGCTGTCTCCTGGTCAGTGGAGTAGTGCGGGCCGTCTTACGGCACCGGATATTAGCAGTGTTCGTAATGCATTCCAGTTTATCTGAATGTCCGTGCGTTGCTTTTCTCCAAGCAGCCGTCGTTTAGAACAGAAAAGCAAGGTGCGAGCAGACAGAAAGAACACATCTGACCAGAGACTGAGGGCTCAATTTTCCAAGCCGTTTCCACCATTATTTTTAAAAATATTTATACATTAATACTATTTGATTCCTGAGGGCTTTACCAGTTCTCACACTTCCTTGTAATTCTATGTTTTTTTAGAAGGTATGTTTGTGCATGCACAGTTTTCTCCAATATTTCAGTTAAACCATTTCTCCACTAGTAAATCCTTCAGACTGCTTTTCCTTACATTCGGGGTCAAGATTATCTTTAAGTATGACTTCCACTAGTCATTGTTAGGGTTCGGTAGCTTCTGTTCTGGGAATATGAATGACCAAGTTAAAAAACCGAGGTAATGAAAAGAGAGAGCTTTGTGAGAAGTTGTGGATATTTGTCTCACCTCCAAATGCTCACTCTCAGTTCGGACTGTCTTCTGTCCCAACCCCTTCCTTGGAAACACCTCTGAGTTCATCTTTGGTTTAGCAAATCCATCATACCTTTCAGAAGACATCCTTGCGGGCTTCCTGCAGAAATACTGTTCCCCATTCATACCTTGAAACATACTGGCTTTTGGATATCATAGTCTCTACACTTCTCATTTTCCGCAAGGTGATCTGCTACCTGAATAAACTACCTGATTTTGCTACCTGAAAACACAGTCTGTTTTCTCTCGATATTTGCTTATCAGATAAGCTTATCACAGAATTTTAGAAACCATCACACACTGATGACACCCACATTTATGTGGTTTTGGAACTCCAGATCAACTCAGTATGCCTGCTGGGGTGTCTCAAGGAGCTTAAATCAGCATGTCAGAGACTAGACTGAACACTGTGATTCCAGCCTTCTGACCGGCCTCCCCGACAGCTACCCCCACAGACATCGAGCACTGTCACTGCTTGCCACTTACCTTATTAGTGAAGGGTGCTACCATTTGTGTAATGGTTCAGGCCTTTCCTGCCTCCAAATCAGGGCACTGAGTTTTACCGCATGAGCATCTTAAGTCTCCTCTCCATTCCCATATTTTCACCCTAGTTTACATCATGATGCATGTTTATTGATGAATTTTTAGCAGTAGCCCTTGCTAATAGATAAGCAGCAGTAACCTAATTGTGACAATCAGAAGTGTCTCTAGACCACGACCAAAGGGCCAAGCGGAGGCATAATCAGCCTCTCCCCTTTGTGAGAATCACTAGGTGGTTAATTTCAGCTGTTTGTGAGCCTCTCCTAATGAGCTTTCAGCATCATGACACTGTGCCTGTGTGAAGGCCCAGGCTACATACTTTGATCAAAGGAATCTTTCCAAAGCACAAATATGATTTGTCAGTAACTGCTATCAGCGTAAATGTCATTCAGCAGGTAAATCTGTCATTATTCAATAGTAAAAAAGAAGTTTACGTACATGCAACAATGTGGATGAATCTCTGAGGCATATGCTGGTTGAAAAAAGCCAATCCTAAAAGGTTTCTTACTACATGATTTGACCTGCTTTGTGTTCATGGAGTGAGACTGGATCAGTTGTTTCCTTGCCTTATAGCTGATAGGAGAATCAGTGCGAGGGAGTTTTTTGCAGTGATGAAACAGTTGTGTATCCTAATTATGGTAGTGGTGCTGACAAGTCTGTGTATGTGATGTAGCATCATAGAACTACACACATGTCCACACACATGAGTAAATACAAAACCTGGTGAAATTGAGTTAAGATCTTTAGTTAACTGTACTGTACCAGTGTCAGTTTCCTGGGTTTAATCATGGTACTGTCAGCACATGACATGCTGTTCATGAAAGAAGCTGGATTTGGGATACTCAAAAGCTACTATTTTTCTGTCTTTTTGTGAATTTAAAATTTCAAAAAAGTTAGAACCAGAATTAAATATTCCACCGCCAGCTGAATGTCTTAGAGTGACTTTCTGTTCTAAAACATGCACACACACACACACACACAGAGTCCCTGACCCTAGCTGATAAGACCCAGCGTGATCTGGGCTCTTGCCTATCTTTTCAGTCCTCATTCTTTTCTGTTCCTTGCCGTGTGGGTTTTCTTGAAATGTACCATGTTTCGGTAATGCTACTGGAATAATGCTGTAGCAGGAGAGCTCCTGCCTTACATAGCATGTATGTACCTATTACATGTTCACTTTTTTTGGAAGCTGCCTTCTTTATCCCTTTCTCTTGTCCTATTTAAATTGTTTCTCCTTCAGACCTCTGTTTACTTGTGGTATCTTTGCCAGAAAAAAATAAAAAAGCTAGATTCCAAAACAATATGATAGGAGAGTTACAATGGTTAATACATTGTGTATTGTTTTCCTGACCTATGAGTAGGAATCACATTGCTGTGAAACTGTTCTTACTCGGAGCACCCAGCTCAGACCACAGTTGTCTATTGGCACTGCATTGGTATCAATTTATATTGGCATTATTTGATTGTGCTAGACCTTACGCTGTTTGTTTTTCCTTGCTATTGTATTTCCAGAGGTATAGTATATGTGATGGTTGGCAAGGTTGACCTTCACTGAATATTTGTTTAATGAGTACAAATATTAAAAACAAATTAGACACGTTTAGAGGTTTTTACTTGAGATTAACTGATTTATAATATATTTAAAAAAATTTTTTTATTTTAAAGAAAAGAAAAAAATAAAAAAGCAAAATTCCAAAACAATATGATAGGAGAGTAACAATGGTTAATACACTGTGTGTTGAAATCTTTAAGTTAGTTACTCAGAGTGCAAGATACCAGCATTTAATTGTCCACACAATATTAGCACAAACCTATCTTTCAAATGAACTGAGAAAAATTAGTGGTAAAACTATTTTAACTACTATATATATGCATATATATATTGTTTTTCCTTTTGCTTTTCCGTGTCTTCTTTTTTCCAATTCCCTTAAACCAGTTTCTCTTTCCTTTTGAAGTTTCTTTCTGTTTTACAATACCTATTGTACATTTTGGATGTACATGTTTAGTAACCCATTATTATCTGTTGAAAGATACCTGACTGGTAGTATGTTTGTGTGTGTATGTATGTATACACTTCTCTAGAACTTGAAGGACATAATTTATCTGTTACTTTGTACTTTAAAATGTAAACCAGAGACTTGAAATAAATGCACTTTATTAAATTTAGCAGTTTTGATTTTTAAAAACTGTTAATAAGTGTAGACCACGCAGACTGCTCTATGAGGGAAGAGATTAATATATTTATCAAGTCAAACACATTTAAAATTTTTTTGTTAATAGGAGTAGCTCATATGGAATACTTTGTGAATGAAGAGGGTTTCAAAATTACATTAAATGTTTTATTTTCATTTTAAATATAATCATGACTGAAATCTAGACATAACTTTAAAATGTACTCGTGGCAGAAATCAAATTGGCAATTTACTGTTTGAAATATGTTAGTGTATTAATGATATAGTTAACATAAAATTATTTCTGAATTGTAGAGTGTGTATATGGCAATGTCACCGATTGTTTACGTATTGTACAGTCTAATAAACTCTTAAGAATTTCGATAAGCCCTTCATTTGAAAATAAGTTACATAATAAATTAGTAAAGGCATATATCTGTCCCTTCAGGATTATTCTTAATTTTTCTCTAAACTGTGTAAATTTTAAAAATGCACTTTTGCTTACTGTGTAAAATATATTACATCTTTGTGTTTTGCAGTACACCGTAATTGAAGCAAAATGATGGAAGAGAGTGGAATAGAGACCACGCCACCCGGGACTCCTCCTCTCAATCTTGCAGGAATGGCGGCCGCCGTCATGTCCTCAACCCCAGGTACAGGGGCTGTTGAATCCCTGTGTGACTCAGTGAGGCTAAGGAAGATTTACTTTTGTTGTCAGTTAAAAGCAGAATGCACATATTAAAGCTTCTCTAATCTTTTCAGGGTAAAGAAAAATAGATGTTTTATTTAAAGAATAGAAAGAAATAGTCTTTATTAAAAGTAAGAAAATATCAATGTTTTGCTTTAGGTAGACTGTTGTTGTGTATATTCATATTGACTGTAAATTAATAACAAAACATGCTTAAAAGCATGTTTATCTTTGATATTCTATGACTTTGTCATGATTAATCCTTTGAACCTGAAAAATGACTTTATTTTATTAAAAGCATCCCAAAATAAATGAACAAGAAAAAAAGTGCCATGATTTAGTAGCATATTGCTGCTGCGTTTACTCCAGGGAGTTGAATATCTTTTGCATTCAATCATATTTATTGTATATTTTATTTTATTTTATTTTTTTGGTTTTTCTCCGGTACCGGGAACTGAACTCACGACCTTGCGCTTGCCAGGCAGGCGCTTTTGCCGCTGAGCTAAATCCCCAGCCCCTATTGTATATTTTAAATTATATATTTAAATGTAATCTTGGAATATGGTCTATTAAATTTAAAAATTTTGCACTAGACAGTAACGTGAGTTTGAAAACAATATGCAAAGCATTTTCAGTTTATCTTTTTATCTTCCCCCCTTCTAGCTGCAACCAGTTCTTTTTCTTCTCCAAATGTATCCACGATGGAGTCCTTGCCCCCACGTGCATGTTCTACTCCGCAGCCCTCCCATCCTCCTGTGCGGCCCTCAGCACCGCTGCCTTTCGTGCCTCTCTCACCGCCTCCTTCCGAAGTCCCACCACCTGGAACTGCGGTACCCCCTCCGCTACCTTCGGCAACTGCTGCCACCTTCAGTAATCCTCCTTTAGCCCACTTCCCACCTCCAGCTTCTGCCCCAGGTGGTCTTTTAGCTGCACCTCCCCCGGGTCCTCCTATATCAGGATTTTCTGTTGGTACAACCTACGACATCACACGGGGACACGCAGGAAGAGCACCTCAGACGCCTCTGATGCCATCATTTTCTGCACCTCCAGTGACAGGTAGGTCTCTTTATTAATACTTTGATATATGTGGCTAGATTTAATGTTGTTGTTTTAGTTCATATATAGCTTTACTAAGATATAATTCACATACTATACAATTCAGTTGTATAAAGTGTACAGTTAAGTGGTTTTCATACATATTAGAGTTGTGTAGTCATTGTTGCAATCAATTTTATAACTTCTCATTTGCTTGAAAAGAAACCCTGTACCTATTTCACCTCTATTTCCTGCAATCTCACAGCCCTAGGCAACCACTAATCTATGGATTAGTCTATGGATTCACTTATTCTGGGCATTATGTATAAATGGACTCATGTCATGTGGCCTTTTGTGACCAGCATTCATTTCACATCAGCTGTTTTCAGGGTTTATCCTTTTTGTAGCTTGAGTTAGTACTTCATTTCATGACTGAGTAATACTCCATTGTGAGAAAATGTTCCATTTTATTTATTCAGTTCAGGTGATGTTACTTTTCTACTTTTTGGCCTTTTGGATAATGCTGCTGTGAACTGTTGTATACAGGTTTTTTGGACAAGTTTTTGTTACTGTTGGGTATATACTTACGCAAGAATTGTTGACTTATGTAGTAACTCTTAACTCTTTTGTAAGCCTACTAAACTGTTTTCCAAAGCTTACATACCATTTACTTTGTATATGGTATTTCCTTTGTGTATGGTGTTCCAGTTCCTCTGCACTAATACCTTATTTTCATTTTTTTGAGTTTTAGTTTCCTATTCTCATGTTTGTCTCATTTAAGTCGTAAAGAACAATCCAGACGTTGTGGTGCATGCCCATCATTCCAGCACTCTGGGAGGCTGAGGCAAGAGGATCATAAGTTTGAACTCAGCCTGGGCAACTTAGTTAGACCCTGTCTCAAAAAACTCTAAATAAAAAGGACTGGTGATATAGCTGAGTGAAATCCTGTGTTAATCCTCAGTACAGTAACAACGACAACAACAACAAAGCTGATATAACTTCATTTATGATAGAGTATATGAGGGAATGTAGCTCAGTAATAGATTGCTTGGCTAGCGTGTCAGAGGCCCTGGGACAGTCCCTAGCACTGAAAAAATACAAAACAAACAAACAAAAACAACTTAGTGTTTGATTAATGTATGAGGTGTCAGAATCCCAGAATTTTATCCTAACATTTGTGCATTTACACATTTTGAGAGAAACGTGAGGGCAAAATTTGAAGTTTAAAAGCTCTGCTTTAAAAAATTTTAAAGACAGATTGATTGGTCAGGGAATAGTTTTTATTCAGCTGGGTAAAAATTCAAAACCGTATAAAAACTCTTGTGAGCTGGAGGTTGGTGAAATTGGTTCTTTTCCTTTCCTAGGTCAGCTGTATCTTTTTTTGCTTCTCTGGTTGTTGGAAACCATCTTCTGCCTGTTGCTTCTCATTTTAGAGGAAGGAAGTAACATTGCTCTGGTTTTTTATTACTCATGTTTGCTTTTCTAGCTTTACAAATAAAATGTATTCCTCAGTACAATTATACCATTGTCTATTTATATGTGATTGTCCTTTTTGAGTTAAAATGAAATGTGTGGAGTATATGTGGTGATTGTTGTATGCTTTTTTATGATGGGCTTAGGTACCCATTTAGTTTTTGGATTAACTATAGCCATTAGCATTCAAGTGCTAAATAGGGCAACATGAAAACATACATATATGTTTATATGTTATGTATATATATATATATATACATGTATACATGTATATATCCTTTTTTCACAATAATTAATGTAAGCCTCTGACAAGGAAAGGAAATTTCTTTTTTGAAATTCTGTTTAATTTGCTTTATAAAGATGTGGGTGATTCTGAGGAGTTTCTAACTCAATGTTTTCTTTTTCTTTTTTTTTTTTTTTGGTACCGGGAATCAAACTCAGGCCTTGCACTTGCCAGGCAGGTGCTATGCCCCTGAGCTACATCCCTGGCCCTCTAACTTAATTTTGAAAACTTGAGTATGTACAGTTACATTATTAAAGTTGTTTTGAGCTGCTCATATACTGTATCTTTTTATATAAAAAGTTTGTGGAATAAATTACACTTTTTTTTGGCCATTGACTAGGTGTTTTGCCAGCTCCTGTTACTCAGCAAGCCAGTCTCACATCTCTGGCACAAGGAACGGGAACCACGTCAGCCATTACCTTCCCAGAGGAGCAAGAAGATCCTAGAATTAATAGAGGTCCTGATGAAGCATCTGCTGGTGGGATCTGGGGTTTTATTAAGGTAAGGGATAGGATATTTACTTTTAAAATTATGTTTTATGTTTTAGTTACAGAGTGATAAGTGTTCATCTGAGAAAATTGTGAAAATAGAAAATGACACAAGGAAACAATAAAAATTCTATTAGTTTTTTTTTATTGCTCCCATCTTTTCTGTGTATCTGTGTAGTTGTACCTGTTCTGTTAATAAAAACAAGTTGGAAAAACAACTTGGGGGCATTTCTTTGTGTTTTTTGTTGGTCTTTGTTTTCTAGAGCCTATAAACATCTTCCTGGCCATAAATTGAGGAATGCATTTTTATTTTCAGTACTGAGGCTTGAACCCAGGATGGTTGCACTTAGGTACATCTTCAGCTCTTTTAAATTTTTATTTTGAGACAGAGTCTAAATTGCTAAATTTCCCAGGCTGGGCTTGAAATTACAGTCTTTCTGCCTCAGCCTGTCAAAGTGCTGAGATTGCAGGTGTGTGCCTCCATACCTGGCACGAAGTGTATTTTTTTATGGCTACTTTGCCATACATGATATTGCATGTGTTTGTCATGTTTTATTTTACTAATGAACTTTTGGGATTTTCTACTTGCGACTTTTAAAATTTATTTTAATTGAGAAAAATTGTTTAGATTTATCATGTATAGTATGTTTTGAAAGGTCTAGACATTGTGGAATAGCTAACTTGAGCTAATTAACATATATATTACCTCACTTACCATTTTAGGGGATGAAAGACTTGAAATTTATTCTCAGCAACTTTCAAGACTATATATATATATATTGTTATTAACAGTAGTGACCAGATTGTACAATGATTTATTCTAACTGGCATTCATATTAATAAAACTATGAACGGTACTACTGTATATAAATCTTTATAGATTTCTCTGTTGCATCAGAATTATTTCTTGGCTATTACTTTGAAGTACAACATTTTCTTGTGTAATAGGCAAGTTTAAAATCCCATTTTAATGTGCATTTCTTTGCTGCTAAATTTGAACTGTGAAATTTTTAGCCATTTGTATATTTTTTCAGTGAAATCTTTGTTTGTGTCCTTTGTCTAGTTTAAAATAGGGTTGACTTTCTTAATGAAGTTTTAGGATTTCTTAATAAGAGTGTTTTGCAGTTTTACATGTTGAGTTTTTTAACATAACACTTCCTAAATTTTCTTTTCACTTTTTTGTTTTTTTGCTAAAAAAGACCTTTTCTTGCTACAGTATATGGTAGATATTTTTCCTTGATACCTTTTAATTCTGTCATTCTGTTTGTTATACTTAACAGTTTAGTATAGCTGATAAACTTTGCTAATGTATGAGCTAGAAATTAAACTTACTTTCCAACTACTTCATGGACTATCTCAGTGTTCTAATGGCAGTAATGTAATACATCCCCTTTATCTTAGTTACTAAATTATTTGTTAACAGTAATTTTCTGGGCTCTGTATTCTGTTCCTCTGTTTTCTGCCTGCCTTTGCAGTAGTAGCACACTGTTTTCATTGCTGGAACTCGGGCTTATTTCTTACACTCACGCATGAGAAGCCTGCTTTGTGCTGAGGTGGGCTTGGGGAATCTTAGAGGCAAGAAGAGAGAAAATGTGATTTACAATTCTGCATTTGTAAAGATGTATCCATATTTAGTTGTATAAACTTGACTTCTCTTGAACATCTGTGTTGGTCTTTACCTATTTTTCTCAGCTAATTTTGGAATCACTCTGCCAAGATGCTTCCAGTATTCTGCTGAAGGATTGTTTGTAATTTCACTGAATATATATTAAACATATTTTCAAATTGTTAAGTGATTAACTGATTTATATTATTTGAGCTTTGTGTTTCAGGAATATGACTTTTTTTAAACTTGTAGTTTTATATCCTTCTGTACTTTTAACAAGTTTTCTTTGTAAAATGATGACAGCTCTTTTTTTCCCACTTGTTAGAAGCAAGTGTCTGTGTGTCAGTTTGCAGGTTATAGTGTCCAGTTAACTCTTCAGGGCTAGTAATAGTATTAACATGATTTTCAGCCTAAAGTTGGTCAGTAGGTCTTATGAACTCATCGTCTTGTGCTGAATTGCCTTAGTTTACTGGCAGGTTGAAAGGGGAATCTGGACTGTTGTCAGATGCAGGCAGGAGCCACTTCTCAGGGCAGAAGGAACACTCAGACATGGTTCCTGTGTCTAATGGTGTGGTTCTAAGGATCCAGAGGAAGGGCTCTGGCTATTAAGTGAGAGTGTAGAAGTTTGGAAATGAACAAAATGAAAAACAGGAAGTAAGAAGAAAGAAACTTCAGTAGAGCATACCAAAGTGTTGTGTTGAGGTAGTAGGAACAGTTCAGGAGAGTAAGGTTGGGGGGTTTTTAACTGTGAATATTTTTTTATTAGGGACTAAAATGTGGACTCTGATTCTAGTCTTTGAGACCCTGAGAGATAATCTTTAGATAAATAAATAGAAATGAAATATGTAAATATATTTGTAAGTGAAATAAACATAATCACTCATATATCTACAGATTATGATAGTCTGCAGACAGTTTACCATCTACTGGTCTGTGCACTTCAGTGGGTCAGTGAAGGGATAGGAAGAAATTGAGAAGTGTAGAAACCAGATAGCAATTTAACATCGCCCAAACCTTTTCTTACATTTTTGCTGGTCTGGGATGCATTAGAAACTTAAAAATACTAAAAGAAAGAAATGATTTCTTTCATCGTGTTGAAGACCTTGGTGTTCTTGGCTTACCTATACAGTATGTTATTTCATGCAGGGGGTGGCTGGGAACCCTATGGTGAAATCTGTGCTTGATAAGACAAAGCATTCAGTAGAAAGCATGATCACAACGCTGGACCCCGGCATGGCTCCTTATATCAGTGAGTACATAGGTTAAGACCTATATCTGCTATATGTTTTTAAAATATGCATCAGTGTCAGCCATTAAATAATTCTCAGTTGATTTCCGTTGATCGTGGAATCAGTGGAAATTCCTCTTACACTCTTAGAGGAAGTCTTATTTTCAGCATTATTAATCTGTCTTTTTCTTAGTCATCATTTGGAAGTTTTGGAAACTCCCCCAAGTCAGTTTTGGAGGAATAAAAATACCAATTATTAGTATCATTACTGATTTTTAACTGTATATATGTGTTAGTAGTACTTTATATTTATTTTATTCACTATTGGTGTTTAAAATGCTTTGGTCATACTTGGTTTTGATTAAATGTCCTTATGTTTATAAGTTTAAAAATCAAGAATGATTTTTAAAAGAAACTAATCTAGTTATTAATAATAACTGATTACTGGTTTTGTTGGGATGACTGTTTTAACTGCCTCTGAACCACTGTCTTCAAGAATCCTCCAGACAGTTGGCATTATGTGTATGTGTGTGTGTGTATGTAAATGTATGTATGTATGTATTTATTTATGGTGTCCTGTTTAATTTTTATGTATATATCCAATATGTAAAAAAATATTTTGACTTATGTAAGTCAGTGGCCACATAGTAGTATTCCTGTTGAAGATCATTTGAAAGCCAAACCTGTGCAATAAGTATTTGAACAGAAATTTTTAGTAACAGTAAAAGGCAAGCAGCCTTGACTGGGCTTGACTGTTGATAGTCTTGGATTAGACCACGCATGATTATGTACCACTTATCAAATGCTTGTTTTGCCAAGTACTGATTCACAAGCATCCTACAAGATAGGTATTTTTTTAAATTTTGGAGTAAGAACTTGGGTTCAGAAAGGTGTAAATTACCATTCTGGGTCACGTAGTTTAGTGTAGCTATATTGAGCCAATGTTTAATATTTTTTACATTCAGTCCCTTGGCTTTCCTTGAAGAAGAAAATAAAATCAAGAATTAAGTCAGCTAAATTATTCTTTGTGTTTGTAACTATCCAAAGGATTCAGAAATTGGATTTTACAATAGATATGGTTTCATATATTCATGATAATCCAGTCTGACGAAATTAATGCATTATATGTATTTTCTTCACTTGTACATACTTTCAGTGAAGTAAGAAAAAGAATTAACCTTTTTGAAGTTTCGTTTGTTTTAACAGTGTTATGTTAAACTGTAAAAGCAACTATTTAGTCCTTAAACCAAGTCGTATGAAGTGCCAGATTTTTTTTACAAAGAGACAAGCTCAGTGACTTTCCCAAGATAAAAAGCTGGTAAATGATAAAAGCTGGATCAGTTTCTCAAGCAAATAGTCACCACAACATCAAGAAAAACGCACACAACCAAGGGAGGGGGGGAATGCAGGAAAGAAATTTTTATTAATCACTTATATTTAAAAAGTTATGAAACCATAAAAGCTGACACTTTACCAGCAACACAAGTAACACTATTCTGATAGAACAAAGCTCAGTAAAGCATTCAGCATATTTATATAAATATTCTCTAAATCACTTGGTATAATTATTTCTTTTATACCAAGGAATCTCCAGAACTATGAAAAATGAATTTTAACGGCATTTCAGATGAATTTTTCTACATTGTTTTAACGAGTTCTTTTCCCTTCATTATTAAAAGTGCGTCACTCATCACAACGTGGAAAGCCTTTGGCTATGACCAATGGAAGAGTAGTTAGCTACGGCTGTTTCATTTGGAGGAAAAAGAGAAGAGAGTGTGTTCTTCCTCTCCTTCCTGTGAGACTCAGTGGTTGTGCTAGTAACTTCAGAAATTCCCTGTAGAGAAGTGATGGGTGGAATATTATGTTAATCAGGAGAAGGATCCATGATAAAATGAAATAAAATAACTTCAGTTCTTCCACAAGATGTTTGGTAGTGAAACAGCTTTGTTCCTGGGGAAAAAAGTTGTATATTACAAATAGCTTTCCTGAGAAATCTGTTAGCAGTGATAGTCATTAAAGCCAACTATCAGTATGTACTTAGAAGCAGGCCTTTGAATTCATTGTGCAGATTGAGCACCAGTAATCTAAGATGTGAAATTCAAAATGCTCCATAATCTAAAACTTTTTGCACACTGGCATGATTCTTGTCTTTTTGAGACAAGGTTTTACAATGCAGTTCAGGCTGGCCTTGAACTCACTTTGTGCCCCATCCTCCTGCCTCAGCCTTCTGGGTGCTGAGATTACAGGTGTGCACCATCATGTCCATCACATCTTCAATGGGAATTTCAGAACTTACTAGCACAACCACTGAGTCTCATGGGAGGAAGCGGAAGAATACACTCTCTTCTCTTTTTCCTCCATATGAAACAGCTCTAGCTAAGTACTCTTCCATTGAGTAATAGCCAAAGGCTTTCCACTCGTATAGTCAAAACGCAGGTTCTCTAACAATATTGTGTAATATTACCTTTCGGGTATGTGTTTAAGACACATGTGGGACAGAAGTGAATTTGATGTTTAGGCTTGGGTCCCATCCTCGAGATAACTCACTGCATACAGACAAATATTCCAAAATTTGAAAAACCCTAAAATCCAAAACATTTCTGGTGTTAAGCATTTTGATAAGACATACTCAACTTGTATCACAAAGTAATAGGTTAAGATGTTAAAAAAACAGTGGCATTTATTTAGCCAAAGTGTTCTGTTTAGAAATAATAGTGTACATGTTTTTAAAATAATTGAAAATTTTAAAATGTTTGAACTAATTAATATGGTATACTTTTAACCTTTTCTTTCTTTTTTGGGGTCTTTTCGAGGCAGGGTCTCACTACGTAGTTCAGGCTGGCCTTGTGCTCACTTTTAGGTTTTTGTAATCCCAGCACTCAGAAGGCTAAAGCAGAAGGATCTCAACGAGTTTAAGTCCAGCCTGAACTGCATTGTAAAACCCTATCTCAAAAAGACAGTAATAATGGGCAGATATAATAAGGTTAGTGGCCCCCAGATTTGAACTCTTTTCTAGATGAAAAAGTACAGAACACGGTAGTCCTTGTTTGGTACCTAACTTGAAAATTTGTTATCAGTGAGAATCTTCATTTTCATTTCTGTGGAATATCCCAGCAGTGTTGCTTACACTTCACAAACCAGGTGTTTAGTTTCTGTGGTTGCTGCATAGGTGAAGGACTGGACACGAGCATCCACATGGAGTTGGAAGTTACCGTATGATGAATATGCATATTGATCAGCAGTTGGGAACCTTTTTATTTACAACTTTAAGAATGTAATGAATGTATTCACCCAGAGCTTAATTAGAAATGAGACTTGGCTAAGTTAATGGAGTGATATAAACTTTCCAGGCAAATAAACTCTGCTTGTGTCTGTTATATCATTTTCTGAATTGATACATATTAAACACTATTAAGAGCCATCATTAGATGCTGAGAAAGTATCTGATGAACAGAATAAGTATGGAAATAACGGGGTTAAACTCATGGTTTTTAATTGTTAGATTTGTCAGAATCTTAGATACGTTAGTGTGCATACGTTAGTGTGTAAATTTCCTAGAAGCAAATGTGGTGTGCAGCGTCTCCCATAACTGTTTAACCACAGAATCCTGTTTTCAGGCAGAGCTACTAATACATTATAGAACATTTCATAGAGTAGTAGAAAACATGTGCCTCGGTTATGGCAAGTGGAACATAAGAAGGCGTGTGCTGTCTTGTGCTTGCAAATACTGCATTAATTTCCAGTCTTGAAGCACAGGAAAAGTTGGTTGATGAGACCAAGAACATAAGATGCTTTTAGATTAGAATGTGAGAAATTCAAGCAGTGTGGTAAAAAAAGGAGTTCAGAGTCCACAGACCTAGGTTTCAGTCCTGACCTAAACTTTCAGTCCCGTACTAAACAGCATGTTGCCTTGGCCAGGACTCACCATCCTTAGTTTTCTCAGCTGTTTAAAAAAGTAATGATTTCTATCTTACATCATTTTATGAAGTTAATAATAATCTTGTAAATAAAATGTTGCCATACATAGTATGGTAGCAATTTTGAGAATTTCATTATTTTAATCTGGAATTAAAATTCTCTTTTGTTCTTTATAGAATCTGGAGGTGAACTGGATATTGTAGTGACCTCAAATAAGGAAGTAAAAGTGGCTGCTGTCCGAGATGCCTTTCAGGAGGTCTTTGGCTTAGCTGTGGTTGTAGGGGAAGCTGGACAGTCCAATATTGCCCCACAACCAGTGGGCTATGCAGCTGGATTAAAAGTGAGTAACAGCTGGGCATGTGGCACATACCTATGATCCCACCTACTGGGGAGCCTAAGGCAGGAGGAGCTCAAGTTTGAGGCCAGCCTGAGAAATTTAGCAAGAGCCTGTCTCAAAATAAAATATTTTGAATAAAGGGCTGACAGTACAATTTAGTGTAGAGCATTTACCAAGCATGTGTAATGCTCTGACGTCAGTCCCCAGTATTGGAAAAAAAAGTAATAAACCACCCTTTTAAGGATATGGAATCTTGGGGCTGGGGATTTAGCTCAGCGGCACAGGGCCTGCCTGGCAGGTGTGAGGTCGTGAGTTTGATTCCCAGTACCGGAAATCAAACAAACAAACAAAAAAAAACAACAAAAAAATAAGGATATGGAATCTGGAGTTAACGTTTTGATTTTTTTTTTTTTTCCTCCCCGGTACTGAGAATCAAACTCATGACCTTGCGCTTGCCAGGCAGGCACTGTGCTGCTGAGCTAAATCCCCAGCCCTAGGAGTTAATGTTTTGACAAGTGTAATAATGATTCTGTGGTCTATATGGAGCTACTGTGTTTACTGAAGTAACTAGCTGTGTTTAGTTACACAACTCTTTAGTGTTAGGAAGACATAAAGTTTTAATTAAAGAAAATCTAAGGTAGGTTTTGATTATTGGGGGAGAAAAGGTAATAAACTCGGAGAGCATGTCTTAGTTACTATTTTTGTTGCTGAGACAAAATACCTGACACCCAAAATTAAAGGAGGAAAGGTTATTTCAGCTCACAGTTTGTAGAGATTTCACTCTATAATGGGCTGGCTCCACGGCAAGGTGGCATTGTAGAGGGGCATCCCAGAGGAGAAATAGCCCATGGCAAGCAGACAAGCAGGCAAGAAAAGCACATCAGCCCTCTTTCTGCCCCGTATATTTTATGGAGGCTACTTGCCCTAGGGTGGGTGCAGTGCCCCCAGCCTTAAGCCTAGCCAGAACTATGCCAAACCAATCACATACCCTTGATCCCAGATCACACACTCTCGATCCAGCCACTTCTGAAAAGCCCCACCTATGACTACATGAGGCTTTGAGGGGGACATCTAGACACAAACTGTAACAGAACACAAGGAATTCTTAGTCTTAAAAAGGATTTAACCCAGTGTTAATGTTAACATCAGTTACTGAAATTACAGTATTCTTTGAATCATGAAAACTTTAAATAAACTTTGTCTCTTAGTAATACTGAAAATAAAGTACTTTATTTAAAGTAAAGTACTTTTAAATAAAGTACTTTATTTAAACTTTGTCTCTTAGTAATACTGAAAATGTTAAAGTTCCAGAAATTCTTCTTTCTTATACATTGTTAAAAAATGTTTGCTGTTGTGTTGTTACCTGCGTACATACAGTCATGCATGAAATGGACAGTCATTGCTATATAAGCCTTTCTCGCTCCTTAAAAAACAAAATCCACAACAGATTCTTTGACCTCACTTCCGCTGTAACCTGCTGTTTTATTTTGTTTTCTTCTGCAGCAGAAGTCCTCAGGAGTCCTCAGTGCTTCTCTTCAGCAGTTCTTGTCACTCTCTTATCTCTACTCTAGTCAGGCTTTGCCCTCAGCACTGTTGAGAGTGTACTCACTGTCACCAGGGCGCTCCATCTTACCTTACTTAGCGGTGGGTTTCAAGCAGCTTCTCCTCTTTCTGTGCAGCTCTCTTCTGCGCAGCCTCTTTTTGTCCCTTCTCCATTTGCCCCCTTGGTGGTCTACTGTCCCTGTCTTTAAACACCATCTTTGTGTGGACTACTCCAGGTTTGTATCTTCACTAAGACCTCTCTTGTAAACTTTTGATTTATATAAAAGTTGCCTTTTGACAACTTTACTTGAATATCTCAAGTTTAGTATGTCTGGAACTAAAGTTTTCTTTCCCCTAGACTTGCTCACTCAGCCCTCTCCATTTCAGTTGGTCACATTTCTAATCTTCTGCTTTCTCAGGTGAGAAATCTTGGAGTCATCCTGAACTTCTCTGGTTATTTGCAATTCATCATATTCTAATCCATCAAGAAGTCTTGTTTGCAAAACACACGATTCATGGTTTTTGCTGTAGTTCTGTTCTGTGGGGTTGCCGCAGACACTGGTTGAATACTGAACCATTGCCCATGGGGAATATATAGGATTAGGTCCCTGTGGGCTTTTAGTCGTAGCATTTTTGCCAATCCATCAATATATAACTGTTCTATGTTTCTGTACAAATACATCTCTCTCTCTCCCTCTTTTCCTCTCTATTTTTTTTCTTTTATTATATTTAACTGTCATAGCCAACAGCACTGTAACTTACGTTTGAATGACATAAGTTGAACACACATTGGTTCTAAGCTTAAGACACATGGTACTTACTGTGTTAAGAACGCTAGACAGCAGTTTACTATGACCGGGGGGTCATTTGGAACACTAAACAAGCACAAAAGTGCAAAAAACCCGACACTAGATAGGGAAAAAAAGACACTTGTTCACAGTATGCAGCATGAAACAAGAAGACAGAAAATCCTGTCTTTGTTTGACGTAGCTGAAAATGTGCATATCAGGCAACTCAAGTTTCTTAAAGTTCCGTGTGCCTGATTTTGAGGCTGCAAATGAATTTTGGTGATTAGTCAGAGTCACCAATACAGAATCCACAAATAATGTGTATTTACATTTAAGGAAAAGTGCATTTTGGTTTTTGACACCCTGCTATTATAAATAAAAGCACTTAAATAGTGTACGTTATATTGAGAGTATCCTGTGAGCCCGGCACTATAGGCACTTTATTCATTCATTTAGTACATGTAGAGTATTGGAGTGAGTAATTGGTATAGTGTATTTCTCCGGGCTAAAGTCTGGTATATTGATTATAAGTATAATCATTGCTTAGAGTTACGGCACACTGGTGCTATGTTATTTTTAATTTTACTGGACAGTGCTGCCTGAGTTTGAGGTGCTTTTCATTTATATGTAGTACTTTATTTAAAGAGATATGGAGCTCTTCCTGTCCTCTCTTGAATTTGGAGCTATCAGGTAGTAGTCATACTGTGTCTAAAAGTAGTGAATAACATACAAATCAAATTACCTATTTCTTGCCTTCATAGTTTTCCTAGTGGTCTATCCAGAGACCAGTGGTGCTGAGAACGCACTTTGAAATGTTTCTGCTTTCTGATGGATTTCCTTTGAATTTGATTACCAGTGTATATTTCCAATAAGGCTTTCTGTGGTGGGTTTGATCTTTATAAAATATAGCAAAGCTAACTGATGGCTATATGGTTTGAATTTAGTCTCATCTAGAAATGAAAAAAATATGGCAAACAGGTAAATTATGTGATGCAATAATTGTACATCCAATCAGTTATATGTGAGGTAAATCATAAACATTTATGTGAGTGATTTTTCTTTGAAAGATTAGAACAGGTCACATCATAAATTGAGGTTGTACTTTCAAGATTTCAAGAATGCTTTTGCATATTGGAAAGAGTTTTAAGAATCTGGGAAGGTAGACTGTTTCAGATTACTTCTAAGGGGTGATCTGGAGAAAATCCTAAAATAGAAATAGGCTTTTGGACAAAAAAAAAAGAAAAGGTAACTCCATGTTTTGAAATTAGAGATTAAAGCAAGAGCTTTGTTAAATTGTGAAGCATTATATAAATATAATATGGAGGTGTATCATTCTTTTTCCAGCCTTTACTGTAAAACTAAAATTATAAATTTGTCAGACTTCTTTTTTTAAACAGTAGTAGAAGCTAATGAGAAGAAAAATAATGTAGAATCTTAAAATATAAAAAAAGTTAACTTTTTTTTGTCAGATTTTACTTGAAGTAAGTGGCTTTTCTGAACTAAACTTGTTCTTTAAACATATGAATTTATTTATTTATTTACTTACTTATTTTTGTATGGAGAATCAAACTCAGGACCTCACGCTTGCTGTGTGCTGCTGGGCTCTATCCCTGGCCCCAAAGTATTTAAAACAGTAAATCAGTTTAGCCAAAATTAAAGTTGAGGAAGTTTCTGAAACTTTGTCAAGCATTAATTAATTAATTAATTAATTTTTATCTTTTTGATACAGGGTCTCACTATGCAGTTCAGGCTGGCTGTGAGCTCATTTTGTAGCCTAGACTGGGTTTGAACTTGCAGTGATCCTCCTGCCTCACTCTCCCAATTGCTAGCATTAGAGGCATGCATTACCACACCTGGCTTCAAGCATTAATTTTATTGGAAAACCAATCATAGTTATGACCATTGTTTCATAGTTCATATTCAACAAATAATGATGTAGATAATATCTGCATTTCTGAAGATGTATAAAATTTTAATTATGCATCTGAACAAAGTTGAAACTCTTAAAGAGTATAATATAAACTTTTAAGGCCTTTCTGTCTTGTAGTTCAGTTTGAGATTATATCAAAGTGGCAATTTTATACTAATTCTTAATCCCCTAAAGTCCTGTCCAGTAGCTTGTAAAAATGAACAAATTCAATTCTGTTCCCTGTAAATGTAAAATCTAGTAATTTTTTGTTATGCTACATTGCTCAGATGTCACCTTGAAGGTGTTAGGGATGATTCTAAAATCCCACTATTCCCCTAATAGTTTTTACTGAATTAACATTTACTTAATCTTTTTAAATAAAAGTGTAGCCATAACTCCTCCGTAGGAGGAGTCAGGCAGCAAAATTTTAACGTCTACTGTAAAGAATTACATTAATCTTACCTGTTACATTTCTTTCCAGATCTGCAGCTGCCTTCTTGTTTCAGTGTTACCACTCTTGATGAAGGCCTTTTCATACTGTATTCTACATGTTGGCCATTAAAGGCTTTGAGAACTCTTTGTTTTTCCTTTTTGTTCAGTTTGAGTTCTTGTTCAACATCTATTAGTTAGGCACTGTGCTAGGCATTAGAGATGAGAGCAAAATAGTCTTTACTTTTGTTATATTTTAAGTTATAGCATCTTTTATGTTTAGAGATAATGTTTAAATTATACGTGTTCTCCTTTATTTAGCCTCTGAAAAAAATGCATTTTCTGTAGAAGTAATTGAACTTTATTTTTATCTAAAAAAAAATTGAACACATGACATTTCCTCTGTGTAACTATTCTACCTTTAAAAATGCATAGGTTTGTCATTCACAGCTGGTTTTGTTCAAAAATTATTTTCAATACATTGCCCTTTGAACATTTATCATATCATTCATGATCACTGTTTATGACAGGATTCAGATGAAGTAATAGCAACCTTGTTATCACTACTCCAACTTGCTAGATAGTTTTCATATTTCCAAATATATATTTTGTGATTTTCAGTTGTCTAGTTAGTATACTCAACCCCTGGCTTTTACTTTATTAATGGTAATTATTGAATAAGCTTTAGTATAATGTGTATTTACAACTTTTATTGTAAATAGCTGGTCATTTTGGTGCATGGTGCACCATATTAAAGGGAATTAGAAAAAAGAGAAAACATTTTTACTGTTAATGTGATTACCTACCTAAAAAGTAAAGAGACTCAAGTAAAAATCTGCTTTATTTTTATCCAGTAAGATGACAGATCAGTATTAAAAAAAGTTTTCTTATATTAGTAATGTTAGAAAATATAATTTAAATGACCTGTTTAACAATTGCAGCAAACATGGTAATGTGTGTGGGAATGATTTAGAAGATGCATCCCAAACTTAATAGTGGGAATGTGATTGGTCTTTTTCATTTTTTGCTCTATGTACTTTCGTATTGTTTGAATATTTACAGCATGTGTGTGCATAAGCTGTGTATATATTATATAACCAAATAAATAATCAAAAATGAATATATTAAATATTTTAGAGAAATTATTTCCAATCTCTACCATTGTTGTTTAGGGTGCCCAGGAGCGCATAGATAGCTTGCGTCGAACTGGAGTCATCCATGAGAAGCAGACTGCTGTGTCGGTAGAAAACTTCATTGCGGAGCTCCTGCCTGACAAGTAAGAGGCTTACTACGCTCCTCTTAGTAGCAAAATGCGGTTGGGTCTGGGAGTTCACACTGAATACCTAGAAGACAGTGTCTCGTGTTTTAGATCTGGAGGGGAAAGCATAGTCTGATGCCAGCTCTTACCACTTTAGCTGTGTCCTTCTTGCTGCTTTTTAAAATTATACAATGGAGACGGTAACACCAGCTTTGTAAGATTGTGTTGTACTAACTTAATGTAATGGTACTAGATATAAGATGATGTAATGGTGCATTGGCTTATATATAATTGGCCACAGATAGCAAACACAGGATTTTTCTTAGTTACTCGAAGTAAAGGAGGGTATGTGCAAGAGGGCCTGGTGGCAGTCACTGGGTTTGAGGTTCTACAGAGCACTCATGTGTGTGTGTGTGTGTGTGTGTGTGTGTGTGTGTTTAGAAAAATCTCCAGACAACATAATTCAGCATGATTTTTCTTGAAATAGAGCTTCTTTTGTAATTGCATTGTGGTTTTATTTTTTCATTTTTTGTTTGTTTATGTAGTATTGGACAATAATGTACCTAGGGTTGTGTGATTGTAATATACAAAAAATGTCCTCTAACTCTGAAGGGATATTATGGAGCAGTTGAAAGAAAATATATGTACAAATGAAGAGCTTTAAATATTTGTAGGAAAAGTTATATAATTTTTTAACCAAATACGTCACATGAAATTTCAGGTAATTCTGTGCAGTCGTATGAAATTTATGAAAGGTTATGGCATGAACTACATTTTGAAGAACAGTTAAAACTTGTGTTAGTGAGAAAAAGTAGGTAGGATATTCTGGGTAAAGGGTAAGTTTGATGATATTATAAGATATTCTGGGATAGTGATTATATCAGCTTGGCTGGAAGTTTGGTATGAGGACAGACTCGGAAAAGCTTTTTATTCTAGGTTGAGCGGTTTGAACTTTTTCTATGTGTGCACTGAAGAACTATCCAGTAATTATTCTTATTTAGTTTTCTCTATTAGCTTTTTACTGTTTATTTAATGGTTACCTTGGAGCCTACAGTTTACCTCTGAAAGGCTTTTTTTCCCCTTTGTCCTTGCTCTCTCACAGCTCTAGATATGTGATTTGTGTAACTCATCTGGCTTTTCACTAGAATTGTTGACCTGCTGTAATCTACTTCAGCACACCTAGATGTAGTATTTTTCCCATCAAATACCTAAGTTTCAGAAAAGAATAGAATATTATAAAGATCAGTAATATCAATAGTACTAGGAAGTCTGGTGATAATACCAGTTAAGAAAGAGAGAAAACAAAACAAAACAAAACAAAACAAAACAAAAACAAAGAGAGAAAACAGATTACGAGAAGTACAGAGTGGGGAGAGATGGGATGGACAAGAGTGTAAATATAAGATTCCTATTGTGGCTACTTCTTTCTGCTAGCTTCTGTGGGAAATAAATGCCTAGAAGATAAGGGCAAGGAAATGCATACTTAGAAATGAGGGTAGAAAAGACCTATCCCAAAGAGCCCACCAGCTAAAAAAAGAAATCCCAAATGTGTTTGGCCCTTAAGAAAGAACAATGCTAGTTTACATATAGTATTTTTCAACTGCTGTCTGTGTTGGACTTTTTATCATTTCTTGCTAAGTGAGAAAAAGTGGCATGAAGTGTAGCACCTATGGAAAAATGCCAGTATAAGCATAGAATGCCCTTACTTTGAGATTTACTTGTCTAGTGTTTGGTGTTAAATCTTGAGTTATGTTGTTGAACGTGCTAAGATGTCCCTAATATATATTTTTTTTTTTTTTGGTTTTTCTCCGGTACCGGGAACCGAACTCACGACCTTGCGCTTGCCAGGCAGGCGCTTTGCCGCTGAGCTAAATCCCCAGCCCCCTGTCCCTAATATATTGATTGGCGATAGCAGATGCTTTGTCACTGGTAAAATATACAAATTGGCATCTTTGTATTGTTCCCAAGATGCTATTATTATATAGTTATTTTCTGCTATGTGAAATCTAAATATCTTAGAACCATAGTTCTTCTTAAGGCTTGTTAAAGTATAACTGATTTTTAGATAGGTTTGTTCAAGTTCATATTTAACCAGCTGCATGGAGAGGGAGAGATGGAGTCCCCGCTGACTCCTTGAATATGACCAGTCTAGATTACCTTTGTTTCTCCTCTCAAAGTGGCAGCAGTAGGCAGGCTGGGAAGATGTGTATGAAGGAGGGGGAGAAGAACTAAAAGCTTTCTTAGCCAGTAGTAAGTACTAGGGACAGAAATGAAAGAGTAGTTGGTAGGAGCAGCCATGGTTACAGTTTCACACTGACTGAATTGAAGAGAATGGGACAGCTGCTATCCCAGTTGAAATGTTCAGTAGCATAGGAATGTTTTAGGAAACAAAGCATCTTGGAGCTCGCGTGTGCATTCACTGGCATGATGAGAGAAGCTCTTCTCATACTTCCGTGACTCTGCCCTTCAGGACGTAACAGTTTAATCCATTACCCATGAGAGATGTTATTGTATACAAGTCACAGAAAATGGTGCAAAACAAAATTTAGCTAAGCTTGGCTTTATGGAGATTTCACAAATATATTTTCTCAACTGAAAAGTATTGTCATAACCAAATGTGAAATTCGGATTAGTATGCCAAATAAAATAAATCATTGTTTTGAAGTTAAAAGTTTTAGGATATGACTACTATAGACAAAGTCCCATTTTAATATTCAGCAGAGTTGTTTATGTTACTTGTTTGTCTGAATATGTAAATAAGACTCCTAATCCATTTTTTATTTTCTTGTAGTTTATTATACCACACGTTTAAAAACAGAGACATTGAACATACTGTTCCAAATACTCATATTGTTTAAATTTATAATTTTAGGGCAGCTGGTTGTTTAAATTTAGTAGCTAAGATTCTGATGTTGCTACAGTTGTCTTCACATAAGTAAATTTAGGGATGTCTTTTCATAATTTCTAAGTATCTTTAAATAGAAGAAAGTTTCCTTGATTTTATGTGGATATATTCAAAGTCTGATTCATTATGAAAAATTCAGAAAATGTGATTAGAAGGATTTATCATTCATGAGGACAGTGTCCTTATTACTTCCTCCAGATGAGCTTATTTTAAAATTTTCTGGTAGCTGGGTGTGGTTGCCTATGCCTATAATCCAGGTACTCAGGAGGCGGAGGCCAGCCTGGACTGCAAAATAAGTGCAAAGTCAGCCTGTACTGGATAGTGAAACCCTTGTTCAAAAAGACAAAAAAAACACCAAAAAATAAAATGTGCTAGTAACTGCTAGCTGGCTGCTTCTTAATGATAGAGATAGTAACATAAACTTCCATATTTTAGCAAGTAATATGTATTGTTACTTGTGAGAAGCTATTAACGTTTAGGTGCATGTAAACCTTTCTTTTGCATATTTGTGTAATCCTTTCATTATTCTCCCCCATCTTAGCAAAAAAGGAAACTTTCTGTGATTAGCAACTTTAAATTATTTTGTCTTTGTTGTTGTTATTTCCCGGTCTTTTTCTCCTTTCTGAATTAACAGAGTAATTGTTTCAAGGCTGTCTCCTTGCCAAATAATTAGAAAAGTTTGTTTTTAAAATATGATGTTTTATCTGAATGCTAAGCTTGCTTTTTCTTTTTGTCCATTCACTGTAACTTTTACTTCCCATGTAAACAATATGAAAGCCGTGTATTCTGTTACAGATGGTTTGACATTGGATGTTTGGTAGTGGAAGATCCTGTCCATGGCATTCATCTAGAAACCTTTACCCAAGCTACACCAGTGCCTTTGGAATTTGTACAGCAGGTTGGTTTTCTCCTTTAGGGTTTTTTAAAAATTGGGTTTATTGGTACAATTTCGATATACATAATGATCACATTCATCATAGGGAACTTGTACCTGTACATGATATATCTTTGTTCCTTTTTTCCCATTCCCTTTCCCTCCCTTCAACCCCTCTTCCCCTCCTTATTTACAAGCTTTGTTACCATTTTATCATTTTTTTCTCCCACTCCCTTTCCCTGTTCTTTCTGAACAATGTCTTTTTATTTCATAAAATCTATTATACATTTTGGTTCTTACACTTTCAGTTTCTCACACCAGAGAATGTGATATTTACACACGTGTGTCCATTTTATTTCACTTGAGACTTTGGTCCCAAGGTCCATCCATTTACCTAGAAATGTCTCAAGTTTATTGTTTTTTATGGCTGAGTAGTACTCCATTGTAGAAAATAACCACATGTTCTTGATCCATTCATTGGTTGATGGGCATTTGGGTTATTTGGATTATTTCTAAGATGTTCTTCATCCATTCATTGGTTGATGGGCATTTGGATTATTTGGATTATTTCTAAGATTTAACTATTGCAAATTGTGCTAGAAACATGGGTGTGCATATATTGCTGTGATATGGTGCTTTTAATTCTTCTGGGAAGATACCAAAAAGGGGAATAGCTGGGTCAAATGTGACCTCTAGTCCTAGCTTTTTGAGGCATCTCCACACTGATTTTGACAGTGGTTGCACCAGTCTACACTCCTACCAACAGTGGACAAGGGTTCTTTTTTTTCATAGCCCTGGCAGCATTTGTTATTGGTTGATTTCTTAATAGTAGCCATTCATTCTGGAGTGAGATGGAATCTCAGCATTGTTTTAACTTGCATCTCTCAAGTGACCGGTAATGTTGAACGTTTTTTCATGTATTTGTGTGCCTTTGTACCTCTTCATCTGAGAAGTCTCTGTTCATTTCAGATGCCCATTTTTGGATTGGGTCTTTAAATTTGGGGAGTCTGATTTTTTCGATTCTTTATGTTCTAGATATTAGTCCTTTGTCTGAAGAACTACTGGCTAAGATTTTTTTCCTACTCTGTGGGTTGTCCTGTTACTCTATTGGTGATTTCTTTTGCTGTGCAAAGAGGTTTTTAGTAAATTGTAGATTCTTTATAGTATTTCCTGTGCCATTGGGGTTTGTTCATGAAATATTTGCCTACACCTGAGTCTTGAAGAATTCTACCTATTCTCTTTTCCAGCAGATTTAATGTTCTATTACTTAGGTCTTTGGTCCATTTTGATTTTAGTTTAGTGCCTGGTGGTAGATAGGACTCTACTTTCAGTCTTCAGCATGTGAAAGCCAGTTTTTCATTATGCTGTGGAGAGACTTGAAATACTATTTTCAGAATAAAAATTTGTGCTAGATGTGTTTTAGAAATATGTTCTTGATTTTGTCTCAGTTTTCTTTTTGCTGTTAATCTTTATTTGCTTTTCAGTTTGCTGGTCCTATGTTTTTAGTGTGTTTTTGCTTTTGTTTCCTTCTTTAGAAAGGTAATTTATTACGTGGCTACTTGTTCTTCTTCCTCATTTTTTTCCTGTTTTTATGATTATATTCCCATCCCTAAGATCAGAAGAAATTGTTTTTCTGCTTATTTTAAGCCCATCTTTCATTTGCTTCCCCCTTTGTGCCCTGTGTTTGTTTCCACTGTTCTCGACATTTCCTTCATCTTCTTTTTTAGTTGTTCATCTTTAGTAACATGTCAGCGTTAGAAACCTTGAATGATAATCATGTCTTTGTTATGTTGAGTGAAAAATAAACCTAATGGTATATCTATCCATAATTTCCAAGAGTGCAGACATAAGCAATAATTTTTATTTTTCTGTATTTTTACTTAAAATTTTCTAGTTTTTTAATGAATAAAATGGAATGTATATATATTTACATTGGAACATCTGTACTATTAAAAGTTGTTTTGCTTTTTTTCTGTCTTAAAATTATTTGGGGTTTATAAACATTTGAAAATGTGATAAAACTAGTTTCATTGTATGTGTAATTACATATACATTTGGCATACTGTATTCATAAGGTGTCTGAAAACAATCTGTGACCCATGTAGAAGCTTGTAGTTTGGAAAGGAAACTAAGAATTGATGCCTGAACTTTTGAAATTTTCATAGAATCTTTATTTATACCATAATTTCTTTTCAAAAGTTCAGGAAATTTTTTATAGATTTTTATAAACTCATTCCAGTATGAAGATGATTAAAAGATTATAAGTGAACACTGCATACTGTTATACCAGCAAATTTAGATAAAATGATACATTTTCTAGGAAAATACAAATTTTACTGTTGATTCAGAATTATTAGGTTGAGCTGTGCAAAATTGCTTTTTAATAGAAACTATCACACATTGTCAGTTTCATGATTTAACCCAGTTACTGTACTTCATTGAATCATTATAGTGAAAGAATTCCATCTAACAGAAAGTTTGTGAACTGAGATATCACTGTATTCAGCTCTATGTCTTCAGCCATTCTGAAATGTTTTATATCTGTGCTGTTTTATTACTGAACTTTTTTAATTTGGGGGAATAGAAATCAGCCTTTCAAAGAAACATAATTATCATCAGTATGTATAGTACTGAAAAATCTGGAAAAAAGATTTCATGTAGTTTATGCTTGTTAAGTACAAGTCACTCTTTCCCTGCCCCTATTAAAAACCCAGCTTGGGGCTGGGGATTTAGCTCAG